TGGCCTAGACATGGGAGAATGGGTCTATGTGGTGAGTGTGCACAGTATAAAAAAAAATCCTACCCTATCCAATGTATGATGGGAAAAGCAAAACTCTGACTTTGATGCGTTTTCTAAGATTGCTTTTTTGGCCGTTTCTTAGTACTGTATTATTTAATAAAATGGAAAATGTACTATTGAAATAAAAATGAATTTGGCTGGAAGTAGCTCTAAATCATGCTCAGATTAAATTACTGGATGCCATAAACCATGACCAATCATTCCTGGTTATTTTTCATTATTCAAGATATAGGGTAAAATTTTTATTGTTTATTTTTTTTTTTTTGGGTAACAAATTCAATATGGAGGGCAAGTGTAATAGAAGAGAGGCCTAAGGATGTGATTAATGAATAGAGGAAATGCTACTCAAGTGCCTTGAATGTTTATGGTGCTATTTTGAACTCTGTAAATTGGATTTTTTAATTTTGTGTAAAATTAGCCAAATTATCAGCTTCTGTGCATTTTATAGTTAAGTTCTGATAATTAAACAGGAGGGGGCTTCTTGTGCTCAGTTAATAGAACACAAGGCATACTAGAGAAATAGCTATGAATCTGGTTGAACTGGCTTAAAATAGCACTCAAAGTGGACAAAAGTGCCAATGCATAAATTGTGCCCAGACTGCTAACTTTGGTCACACATAATTCCATATGTTTTCCATCAAATTTCATATTCTTTCTGTCATTGCCTTTAGTAAAACATTTTTTACAAGATTTTTTTTTAACCCTTGCAAGGTTTCGGCCGTACTAGTATGGCTTACGCACCAGGGTTTTTGACGTACTAGTATGCATAAATTCTAGCACCCTCAAATCTAGCAAGAGAAAGCTGGTAGGCCTACATATGAAAGAATGGGTCTATGTGGTCAGTGTGCACAATATAAAAAAAATCCTGCAACACACAGTGCACAATGAGAAAAAAAAAACTTTGTGTTTTTGGTTTAAAACAGCAACTTTGCACTGTATTTTTGTATGGTATTTATTGTTGTATTCTAGTTTTCCTGGTCTCATTGTATAGAATGTTAGACATATTACAGAAATTGAGATGATTTTGACTGGTTTTACAAAGAAAAGTACCTTGAAATTGAGCTCAAAGCAGCAGAAATGTTCGATTTTTACCAAAGTTCAAAAGTAAATAAATCATGCCAAGCGTCCAATACATGTCAACTGGTGAGTCTAATAATCTTTCACAAGTGCGCCGATATCATTTATACCATTTCTACACTAATGCAGTAGTCTGCATAACAGTAAATCTTATTTTTTTTGTGAGAATAAAAAATCAAAGTGGAAAGCAAAAGAAATGTAAGAGGGGCCTGGGGATGTGACCAATGAACAGAGGAAATGTTATTTTTAGTGCCAGTAATGTCTTTCCTGTTTATTCTGGACCCTATTTGGAAATTGGCATCTTTTGAAATTTGTGTGAAATTGGCAAAATTGCTAAATTCTGACCACTTTACTGGATAGTTGAAATCAGTAAATGGGTGGTTTCTTGTACTCATTTGATAGAAAAAACGAAGTTCTAGTGAAATAGTTATGATTTTTGTCGACTAGTACACTGGAATTGGCCGAAAATAGGGCTCAAAGTGGGCAAAATCGCCGATGAGTAAACATCGTCGAGACCGCTAACTTCGCAAGAGCATAATTCCGTAAGTTTTCCATCAAATTTCATACTTTTGGTGTCATTATGACCAGGAAAAGATTCTCTATCTTTTCGTAAGAATTTTTTTTTTTTTTAAATTTTGGCAACCCTGCGAACAAGTCTCTGAGAGGGCCTGGCGACCCTCAAAGAGTTAATACTGGCAATGAGTAATTTTAATTTGGGGAGACCCAACAGTGAAAGGGCTAAAAACAAAAGAGGGGAGTTATTAAATAGGGAGGTAAAACCATTTGAATGTTATTTAACAAAAATTATAGTTGAATACGGTAAACCAGTCTGGGAATACATGGAAAAGGGCTACCTGTGGTGAAAAAAAGAAATAAATCTGACAGAGACAATGAGAAAAAAACATAAGATCAGTAGGACAACAAAATGTTTAAATAATTTAACACTAAAGATCAAATATTAGGACATAAGTACAGAGGTACCTCGAGTTATGAGCTTAATTCACTCCAGAAGGCTGTCCGAGTGCCAATACCGAACAAATTTGTTCCCATGAGGAATAATGTAAATTAGATTAGTCTGTTTCAGACCCCCATAAATACACTTACAAAAGAACTTACAAAAATACACTTGCATAACTGTTCGAGTTGGGAGTTGTTCGAAACTTGAGGTACCGCTGTAGTATATTGGAAAATAAGAGATATACAAATGGATCAAAATGATTACACATAAGGAAGAGCTGCTGAAAAGTCAGGGACATAAGGAAACTTCAAGACTGCAACATATCACCTAACCAGACCTTTCCAAGAGAAAAGGTCAAAAATAAAAGAACATATAGAAATAGGGTAACCAAAACTCTGTATGACACAAGAACCACAGCCATTCACCTTAACCCAGTAGGCCAAGATCAACCCTATCCACACTTCAAAATGAACAACTATACTATAGCAGAATCATAAGTAAATTCTGTACTGTGTAAATTTTTACTTAGTGTGTACAATAGTAGAAATTTTGGTTGGTCAATTTTAAGGCATCTGCACATTACAGCCTCTCCTCACTTAGCGACGTACTCATTTACCAACAACTCAGACTTATGATGGGCTCTCTGACCAATATGCATACCTAAATAATGCATATCAGAGCTGATTTCCTCAATTCTGTTTATTACAATATATACAGTACACTACTGTATCAACATTTAAAAGTATACATGTACCAGAAATGTTATAAATGGTGCAAGGGTGACATAAAACAATATCAAAGATAGTTGACACAAACCCACTACCATTATAGTATGCTCCTCACTTAGCGACAAATTCATTTACTGACAAGGACTTAAGAACGGAACTCCATCGTTAAGTGACGAGAGGCTGTACTTTACATTTTCCTGTGATCTTTACTTCATGTAATACTATTTTACCTTAAACTTAAATTTTCAGGATATAACCCCTGTTAAAAGAGGGTTTATGGTATTTGGAAATTATTTAAATGTATAGAAATTTTAAACTGACAGATATGAAAGAGTAGGAATAATTAAGGGTGGTACAGTATTTAGCAATATAGCTGCAATTGATAATGGTAAACGAGGCACTGAAACACTGTCAAGAGATTCCTTCTGAAGTTTGAGTTATTTGTAAATATTATATTAATTAAATTCAATTAAATAATTTCAGAAAGAATACAAACAGATCAAAACTAATGGAACTTATATCAAAGACAAGATATTCTTGACCCTGTCAGCAATTTTGTACAGTTTATGAATAGGACACACATGTAAAATTTGGGTATCTTTACTGCAAAAATGTTTTGCCTCCATAGCAGGCTTTTTCAGTTGAATACAGAGAAAACTCATACTGGAGACAGCTAAAGCGGAAAGGTAATTTAAGGTGTTTAATCCCTTAGCCTTGATAGAAGGTTTTTCAGTGTCTCAGATTTGATAAATGGCATTCGGTCCCTTGTAATTACACATTGTAACCTTTGTAGGGAAATAAAATCTTTATCTTTTAGCCTTGACTGAAGGTGTTCAGTCCCTTAGCCTAAACCAGATGCACGAGGATAGACTCTTTTTACTGGAGCAAACGTAAGGTACAGCAGTTGGAGATAGTGTCATAGGTGGGTGGTATCCATAACAAGTGAGCAGGAGATGTCATAGGGATACCCACTAGTGGAAGGTCATGCCAGTAAGTTGTTTAATAACAGAGTTGTAGAAGATATCCTCTGTACGAAGACATCATGGTGGTGGTGTTGTGTGAAACAAATATCCTAGGGACTAAACACATATCTAGTGATTAACACCTATCTAGGGACTGAACACCTTAAATTATCTCTCCACTACTTCCACTGTCTCCTGATAGCATACATTATACACAAAACTGGAATTTATATTTCTGCCCACTAATCTGTATTCATTTTTGAATGAGCAGCTGCCATCCTTAGGGTTATTCACTCCTTTGTAACCCAACACTTTAAGTAGTATTAATTTATTATTATTTTTTTTTATTAACACACTGGCCGATTCCCACCAAGGCAGGGTGGCCCGAAAAAGAAAAACTTTCACCATCATTCACTCCATCACTGTCTTGTCAGAAGGGTGCTTTACACTACAGTTTTTAAACTGCAACATTAACACCCCTCCTTCAGAGTGCAGGCACTGTACTTCCCATCTCCGGGACTCAAGTCGGCCTGCCGGTTTCCCTGAATCCCTTCATAAATGTTATTTTGCTCACACTCCAACAGCACGTCAAGTATTAAAAATCATTTGTCTCCATTCACTCCTATCAAACACGCTCACGCATGCCTGCTGGAAGTCCAATCCCCTCGCACACAAAACCTCCTTTACCCCCTCCCTCCAACCTTTCCTAGGCCGACCCCTACCCCGCCTTCCTTCCACTACAGACTGATACACTCTTGAAGTCATTCTGTTTCGCTCCATTCTCTCTACATGTCCGAACCACCTCAACAACCCTTCCTCAGCCCTCTGGACAACAGTTTTGGTAATCGTAAGTAAATGGACAACAGATATAAGAAGAATTGCTCATATGTCTCACCTTATCCAGTGGTAGAGAGTCTGGTTGGCAAAACTATACTATGGAATCTTACACAGGCATCCACCCTTCACATTAATTACAGGAGGGTCCCATTTGTACAGCTCTGAGGTTCCCAACCCAGTACAGTAAGTGAAAATCACTGGTGGGTTTTTTCATTACTGAATGCATCTAAAACGCCTGATAACATGTTCATGCTATCGTATATTGGGTGCTCAATACAGTGGACCCCCGCCTTATGAACGCATCGCGTTACGTTAAATCCGCCATACGAAGCATTTAAATGCAAAAAATTTTGCCTTGCCTCACAATAAAATACTCACCTTACGTGATTCGTCCGGGACGCGTCCCACGTGTGGCCTCATCGCCAGTGTTTACAAGCCAGCCAGTGCGGTCACATCTATGCATACATTCGGTACATTTCACATTATCCCAGTGTTTTTAGTGCTTGTAACTGCAAAATAAGTCACCATGGACCCCAAGAAAGCTTCTAGTGCCATCCCTGTGGTAAAAAGGGCGAGAATTAGTATGGAATTGAAAAGAGTGATTAAGGAAATGTGTGCAAAGTGGGTTGAACTGCAAACCTTTACGGATGAAAATCACCCTGACACAGCTACTGCAAGTCGTGTTGGCAACCTGTACAATGACAATGTTATGGCCCATTTTAGGAAAGTCTTAAAGGAACAGGAGGTACAGAGCTCGATGGACAGATTTGTTGTGCGACAGAGGTCCAGTGACTCTCAAGCTGGTCCTAGTGGCATTAAAAGAAGGGAAGTAACCCCAGAAAAGGACTTGCTACCTCAAGTCCTAATGGAAGGGGATTCCCCTTCCAAGCAATAACTTCCACTCTCCCCTCCTCCCATCCCATCAATCATCACCAGATCTTCAATAAAGGTAAGTGTCATGTATTCTATTCTTAGTAGAGTAGTAATTGTGCATGTCTTCTTCAGTTTGTGTGTATTAAAATTAATATTTCATGTGGTAAAAAAAAAAAAAAAAAATTTCATACTTCAGGGTGTCAGGAACGGATTAATTTGATTTCCATTATTTCTAATGGGGGAAATTAATTTGGCTAACGATAATTTCGGCTTACGATGAGCTCTCAGGAACGAATTAATATCGTAAGGCGGGGGTCCACTGTACAGCTAGGCATGAAAAACAGATAAAAAAGTACACGATACTTACCTTAAAATACGGCACTGGTTGCCTTTCCCTTATGCAACCGTTGTATGAAAATGGCGGAAAAGTGGTAAAAGCACCAAACATAATGAACACTGGCTCAACTGAAAGCCAACAAAAACATGGAACACTGAAAAGAGAGTGCTGTATATGTGGGGGCCTCCTGTATACTGCATGGCATTCAAATACAGTGGTACCTCGGGATATGAACTTATTTCGTTCCAGAAGGCTGGTCGAGTGCTGATACCGAATGAATTTGTTCCCATAATGAATAATGTAAATTAGATTAATCCGTTTCAGACCCCCAAAAATACACTTACAAAAGGACTTATATAGCTGTTCACGTTTTGAGCTGTTCGTATCCCAAGGTACCACTGTATTTGTGTTAGCAGAGACTGAGCCTCAGCTCCTGCCTTTTTCTCTTAACTAGCCATTACCAGGCTGACACAGTACCTGGGTGTTAGCTGACTGGTGTGTGTAACATCCTGGGAAAATGGATTAAGGGTCCCATTGAATAAAAGCAAAATCTGTCTGATGGCTCTGACTCTACTAGGTTATCCTGGGTTACTAACCCTCCAGGTTAATATCCCAAACAAAATCACCATCTTCTTTCCTACTTATATCCTTATCAATTTGTCTAGTATTTTGTGTCATTATTATGTCTACCATGGTGGGAATAAAGACACTGGTAGCTGGGAAACCTTTTATTACTACATTTCACTGTAGTCTACAATACAATTAGGTTAGGCTTTCCTCAGTTCATTCCCCTTAACTCTGAGGCTAGGCTTATTATGAACCTCTGCACTTCATCTATTTTTGCAATATGCTTTATCAGCTGTTGGTTTCAAGCTGATGCTGCATACTCCAAAGTGGGCCTGATACATGTCATACATAATGCCAGGAATGACTTTGTTGGGGCTCATGAATGCAAATCTTAAATTTGCCAAATACGTATTTACTGCAAAGGCTATTTAGGCACTGTAAGCCTTAGTGTTATGTTGCTACTATGCTCACCCTGAGGTCCTTCTCCACGATAGGTTTGCAACCTTTGTTACTTGAGCCATACTCTGTTTCCTATCATTTTCTTCCTTCCCAAATTTTTGTAACCTTGCATTTGATGTCAAATTCCAGTAACCATTCAGATCAATCCTGCAGTATCTCCAGGTCTATTTGCAGCCTTTCTGTGTCCCCTCCTATTTTTATTTCCCTCACCAATTTTGCATCAAACATGAACATAGATACATCGTACTCTCTTTTTCTTTTATCTCCCCTAGTCTGACTGCTAGCACACTCATCTCACCCACTGAGGTCTGGGGTTTGATCCCTGGTATGGGTGAAAACATCAGGACGTGTTTCCTTAAGACACCCGCTGTTCCTGTTCACCCATCAGTAAAATAGGAACCTGGATGTTAGTTGACTGGTGTTGGCCATACCTTAGGAACCTAATTTGCCTGAAATGCTCTGCATAACTAAGGGCTTTCTGTAGAGTAGTATGTCACTGATGTCAGCTAGGCCTGTATACATTGTACATGTACCTGCAGAATTATTATTATTATAGATATTATCATCTTCCCCAGTATAGGGGACATGGGTCATCCCAGAGTCGATAAAAACAACAGATATAGCCCCACTCCACAAAGGTGACAGTAAAGCAATTGCAAAGAATTACTTACCGATAGCACTAACATCTCATCATAGAAATCTTTGAAAGGGTTCTAAGAAGCAAGATTGCCAACCACTTGGATACCCATCGTTTGCACAACCCAGGGTAGCATGGGTTTAGAGAGGTCGCTTCTGTTTTCTCACAACTACTGGATCGCTATGACGTGGTCTTGGATGCACGGGTGGACAAACATAATGCAGATGTAGTATACACAGATTCTGCAGAAGCCTTCAACACGTGCAATCATGGTGTAATAGATCACAAAATGCGTAGATAAAGGACTAATAGGAAAAGTTGGTAGATGGATCTATAAACTTCATAAACTTTCTTCATCTTCATATCTGATACAGACAGAGATGTAAGCCACAGCACCGTGTCCTTTACTGATGACAGCAGAAGCTGCATGACTAAGTCATCCACCGAGAACACTGCAAATCTCCAAGCGGACATTAACCAAGTCTTTAAGTGGGCATCAGAAAACAATGTGAAGTTCAATGAAGACAAATTTCAATTATTCTGCTAAGGAAAACTCGAGGAAATAAAAACTGGACTGGAGTATAAAACAAATTCCAACCACACAACAGAGTGAAATACTAATGTGAATGAGCTGGGAGTGGTAATGTCAAATAATCTCACTTTCAAAGATCACAACAATGTATCTACCACATCTGCTAGGCCCCTGGCTATCTTCAAGAAGGAGATGGAGACACCTAAAGTCAGTACCAGACCAGCTGGGCTTTGGTTCGAATGTCGGTTTGCACGAGGCCAACAGCAACAAGCCTGGTTGATTAAGCATTGGTCCACTATGAGGCCTGGTCATGGACGGGGCTGCGGGGCAGTGTCCCTCAGAACACTTTCCAGGTATACTCCAGAACATAGGAAATGGATGTTTTTTCTCAACTTTGAATTATATACTATGGATATTACCCAAGAAGGGTAAAAATAATGTTTTTGGGAATTGATTTGTATGCATTTTACCGATGGTGTAGTGTTGCCACATTTTACTGGTGTTAGCCATTTGATATGTTTATCGAGTCTGGCTAAGGTTACCAACCATTATTTGGTGGAACTCACGTACTAGTTTACATTTTACAATACGTACAACCTATGTACCCCACAGAATAAGTATTTTTGAGCAAATTACTTTTGTTGATATTAGTGAAAACAGTAGATTAATTTTGGTTGCATAGTACATTTGAGTTCATCAATGCTTAGTACTGACTCACGTTATGCACTGCCCGAATATAAAGGAAGACATACCAAGCCGATGCTGGAGGTTAGGTTAAGCTATGTTAGGTTATTTTAGGTTGGGTTTGGTGAGTTGCATTAGGTTTAGTTATATTTTTTACCATTTATGCAACAAAATACTATCTCTGTTGCAATACCAACAGGCAATCTGAATTAAGTTTATTTAGGTGCAGGTACACAAACAATTATCATATATAGCAACATATGTGTAAATTAACTAGGATAGCCCAAAAAAGTCATATATTACTTAGTCTCAGGAAAAATATCCACTACTTTGCAAAAACTAACATCAATTTCAATACTTATTGGACAATGACAAGTGGAAATATTGCTTTGTTTGATTATATATTATTCTTGGTTAATTTCTAAAAAAAGTTACTACCTAAGCCAACTGTAAACAATTATATGGTGCTGGATTTGGATAAAAGCTTTCTTAATGGCAATGTAAAAAACATATTGAATATATTGATATTAATTTTTTTGTAAAATAAACATGGTATTAATTACGATTGAAAACATACACATAAGGATCAATGTACATATACAGTACATAATGCCTAGGCATAATAGACGCTCTTTTTGCATTGCAACCCATTATTGTAAATACATAATCTCAATGTACTATTTGCAAAGATATAAATAAATAAATAAATAAATATGAGAAACAACAAATATATTCTTACCATTGTTTTACACTCGCCATTATCCACACACCAACAATAATACAGAACTAACTGTATTTCATTATTACTGATTATGGTGAAATAGAGTAGATTTCGTTTTTATCATATCTTATCTGAACCTCATGTTTGTCCATTCAAGAAAAAAAGATAAGCAGTATTAAAAAAAATAAAATGATTTTGTAGACAATAGTATAAATTAGTACAACTGTTCTCAAGATACAGATGCTGCTGTCATACATCACAAGTGAATTACGATAATTTATCCTAGTAAAATCCTACCGAGTCCAATTAACATTACCACAAGCACAAACATAATCAACTTATACTGTGGTATTGACGTCTTGTACTTACGTATGTCCCTCAAGGATCTGCATGTCACCATGAAATGCTGCATGTAATATGGGGTTTACGAAATATATGCATCTTGGTGTCACTTACCTACGTAACGTTATTTGTTAGTAAAAAAATTCCCGAGGCTGAACTGTTGTTGTTAAGGGCTTCAACTACTCCTTCCACTGAGCCCAGTCTTAAGTAAATTTATGTCGTGTCTTAAAGATTCATTATTCCAGTATGATACATTAATAATAATATCTTTATTTACTACAAGTACATGTACAAGGTATACAGTCCTAGCTGACAACAACGACATATTACTATATAGAAAGCCGCTTGTTATGCTGTGCATTTCGGGCAAATTAGGTCAGTGTCCCAGGATGCGACCCACACCAGTCGACTAACACCCAGGTACCCATTTTACTGATGGGGAACATAGACACAGGTGGAAAGAAACACGCCCTATGTTTCTACTCTGGCTGGGAATCGAACCCAGACCCTCGCCATGTGAAGCGAAAGTGTTAGCCACCAGGCCTAATTAATTGACTAAGTAATTAAATTTATTAGTTAGTTTAAGTTAGTTTAATATGTGTATTATGCACCCCATACCCATCCTGTGGGCGGTAGTCAAAAGATTACAGAGGTACATAATGGGTCCAGGGACTGGGCCTCAAAGTTTTGATGGCTGAGCAAGTTACAGAGGTAATGAATTCACAATTATACAATTTGGGTTTGCCCCGTCTTAGGTAAGTTTATTTAGGTACTGTTACTCAATTTTCGGATTAGTACGATTATTTTATATAGTAGAATATGTGTAAATTGCCTAGAATAATCCAAAAAACGCCAGTAACTTGTTTCCACTGGAGTCCATTGAAATATACCCCAGAACTATTTAGGAATTATTGAGGAAACAAGAAAAATAACACGTTTTTCCAGACAGAACTACACTGCCTTTGTTTTTACAGCAGTCTTCAGGCACACTTTTTTTTTTATTTTGCCGAGGAAAGGACTCTTTTATTGTGCCCCTATAACTACCTTGTGAACGATAGGTCAAGAGCATATGGATACATAAAAGGCCTAGAAACTAACAGTTAACACGAGCACATCTTTTTATATATCTACAATTTGCTCAACACATTTGATATTTTATTTTCAATGATAAAGTACCTTGGCATATCACATATTTTATTATACTATCTGTCTCTATATGTTTCAAAACGGGCAATGAAGTCCATAGCGATAATAATAATCATAAGGGAGCAGCCCCGAACTCTTCCAGAAAAAATCACCAGCGATTTCTGTGTCAGTCTTCGTCGATTATGGGCGTCTCGCTTTTGCCTGAGCATCAGTAACAATTTCTCTCCGTTCTCTCTGTGATGCTTATCTTCGCCCGCTGGGTACTGAGTACGATGCAGGAGAGGCACCTTTCATCGGCACAATTTTAGCCAGCTCCATTTTTTTCCGCTCTGCGGATATTTCTTTAACGGATTTGGTGGGAAGCCGGTTGCTGTACTCAGGTGAGGGTGTAGGTGTCACGCTCCGCTGGGGCATGGTGAGGGGTAAAAGGGATCAATTTGGGAACTTCTAGTTTCTGTTTGTATTTACAAAGGGATTCCTGTTCCTTTTTATTTCATTGCCCGGTTTTGGGCAATATCTCTTCCCCGCACATTGAGAAGTAGGGCTCGATACAAACCCAAGAACATAAGTAAGGAGGAACAGCGCAGTAAGCCAGTTGGCCCACACTAGGCAGCAGGTCCTTGAAGTATAACCATAAGCCTGACCACATGTTTTTATTTAGTTTGAACATAGTGTGATTGCCAACGTGCCATTACTACTTGTAACCATGCTTAAGCCTGGCTACTAAAATAATCTACATTGCAAAATGATTCATGTACTCACTCACCTATTTGTGGTTGCAGGGGTCGAGTCTTAGCTCCTGGCCCCGCCTCTTCACCGGTTGCTACTGGGCCCTCTCTCTCCCCGCTCCATGAGCTTTATCAAACCTCGTCTTAAAACTATGTATGGTTCCTGCCTCCACTACATCACTTTCTAGGCTATTCCACTGCCTGATAACTCTATGACTGAAGAAATACTTCCTAATATCTCTCTGACTCATCTGTGTCTTCAACTTCCAAGTGTGACCTCTTGTTTCTGTGTCCCCTCCCTGGAACATCCTGTCTTTGTCCACCTTGTCTATTCCGCGCAGTATTTTGTGTCGTTAATATGTCTCCTCTGACCATCCTGTCCTCTAGTGTCGTCAGGCCGATTTCCCTTAACCTTTCTTCATAGGACATTCCCCTTAGCTCTGGAACTAACCTTGTCGCAAACCTTTGCACTTTCTCTAGTTTCTTGACGTGCTTTATCAAGTGCGGGTTCCAAACAGATGCTGCATACTCCAGTATGGGCCTGACATACACGGTGACTTACAAACCTACTAAAGCTTCTAACTGCATTCCCTTGGACATTCAGATTCACAATTTACTTCTCTCCTGTTATTACTGCTAATACTTGACACACACACATATACCCGTTATAGTCTACTTTTTTCTTCGAAGCGCTTTTTTTGACTATTTTATCACGATTAAAAGTACATTATGTCGATAATAATAATAACAACAACAACAACAACAACAACAACAACAACAACAATAATAATAATAATAATAATAATAATAATAATAATAATAATAATAATAATAATAATAATTATATTATTATTATTATTATTATTATTATTATTATTACTATCACTAGTAATAATAGTAATAATAGTACCGAACTTGCACACGAAAATCACTCACTACGAAAGCAAAAGACTTGGCAGACGATGCAACATCCCCCCAATGAAAAGCAGGGGTCTCACTAGCACGTTAAGAGACCATACAATAAGTGTCAGGGGCCTGAGACTGTTCAACTGCCTCCCAGCATACACAAGGGGGATTACCAACAAACCCCTGGCAGTTTTCAAGCTGGCACTGGACAAGCACCTAAAGTCGGTTCCTGACCAGCCGGGCTGTGGCTCTTACGTTGGTTTGCGTGCAGCCAGCAGCAACAGCCTGGTTGATCAGGCTCTGATCCACCAGGAGGCCTGGTCACAGACCGGGCCGCGGGGGCGTTGACCCCCGGAACTCTCTCCAGGTAAACTCCAGGTATTATTATATTATTATTATTATTATTATTATTATTATTATTATTATTATTATTATTATTATTATCATTATTATTATTATTATTATTTCCTGTTATGTTTATGAAGCATTAAAACCCGTGTGGGTCATTCAGCGTAGGAGTGGTGGGGAGTTGGTCCTCCGTCCGAACCCCCGTAACAATAGTGGAAGAATTTTGAGGTTCGGGAAGCAGCCGACTCCGAAGTTCTGGCGGTGGTTCCCTTACTTCTCCTCCACCTGTTGCCACCCTTAACAACAACATTTTTCATCTCTGATAAGAACCTTTCCTGTCTTGATAGTATGCGAGTACCCTTTTCTGCCCTGAGCATCAGTAACTAATTTTCTCTGTTTTCTTCCTGGGATATTTGTCCTCATTATTTTTGGCTGTTGGACACATAGGTTGAGGCGCCCCAAAGGCAGTAAGTCAAAGTACGAGGAACCCCCAGTGGAAATAAGTCACTTCGTCGGACTTTTTTTTTTTTATCCAGGGCAATTTGCACTTATGTTACTATGTATGATAATTGCAATCATCTAAATTTGTATAACTGTACTTATGTGTATCTGTACCTAAATAAATTTACTTTGTTATTTGATTTTATTGGGTTACCCTAATAATAATAATAAAATAATAATAATGAGATGAAAAAAATGGTCTAAGTAATATCCTTGTGGGAAATTGATAAGCCGAGATTAGCTGACCAAGAGGCTGTCTGCTTGTCCATTGCCTTGAACACGGGAAAAAAGAAAAAGCTTTCTTTGGGTTTATTAGAAATGCGACGTAGCTAAAGTTTTGTAAGATGGACGATGAGATGAGGAAAATCAAATTTCTTGATAGCTTGTAATGTATTTTGGGAGTCCGAAACAACAAGGAATGAGGCGGAGATGGTCGTAGTATGTATAATAGTATTACATATAACTCTGCCGACTTTAATATATGACCTTGAATTAAAATTTCCAGGAAAGTAGATATGTACCCGACGCCATCAATGTGCACAACTACAGTACAGAATGAGACAATGAGAATGTGCAAGGGTGGAAATATCTGGGAGTGTTTCCTTAAGACACCTGTTGTTCCTCTTCACCTAGCAGCAAGTAGGTGTCTGGGTGTTAGTCGACTAGTGTAGGTCGTATCCTGGGGAGAAAATTAACCTAATTTGCCCGAAATGTTCTGCATAACCAGGGGCTTCTATATAGCCAGAAATCAGCGAAGCCAATCAGTGTTTTAAAAGAGGGGCACAAACACAGCTGGATGAGTACAACTATGTGAGTACACACACTCGCGTGTAACAGCAATATAACTGTCGGGGAGACAACTGTCGGAAGAGATGGGTACACTGGTGACCTCCAGTGCAACAAACACTAGGGCAAAGTTTACCCATCTATGATAAAAAAAACAATGAAGCATTACCCAATGAGCAACTTGTTTGAGGCGACAGATAGCAAGTTGTCTGCGTGAGATAAGACTGCTTGCGGAGGTCGTGGAGGTCGTGGAGGTCGTGGATGTCGTGGTGGTTGTGTGTGTGTGTGTGTGATAAGACTACTTGTGTGTGCAGTTGTGGTGGTGTATTGGAGTTGTGGAGGTCGTGCTGTAGAGGTTATGTAGAGATTGTGTTGTGCAGGTAGTGCTGCACA